AAACTGAAAGACCTTTACAATATTATTATATGTCTGAGACAAACCATTTCCAAAAATCATATTGACAAATCCTGACTCATCTCAGACTCCATCTCCTTGAAAATGTATATTAAATGAATTGCTTACAAAATTTTTATAACACTACAGCTGTGAGATATGTCAACGGGTTTGGGGGTAAATCAGTGAGCATGAATTACCTACCAGCTCCTATGATCCCTCTTCAAATGACACCAAGTGAGTGGGTTTCTATCAAGGCTTGGTGTTCTACAAGGTTACTTTATGCTTATCCCCATCCATCTTAATACATCAGTAAGTTGTGAAAGGTGAAAAAATGATTTGAAGTACGTACTATGTAGCTGAAATAAGTGATCAAGATTAAATTAAATCTAAGGTAGTGCGTATTTAAATACAATCCATTTTAAAAGTGACTTTTAATTCAAATTGAATTTAAATGTAGTTTATGTGTGTAGAGTTTAGGTTATCTGGTCCGACACCCTCCCAAGTTGATTCAACTCATTCCCAAATTACTCACATTTCCAACAATCAAGCCGTCAATCTTCCTTCCTTCCACCCTGCTTCAAACCACCAATGCCTTCCACCACTCGTGCCAGCCAATCAAAAACCAACCGTTCCTCTGTACGCTCTTCTAACAAAAGCAAGAAGAAAACTCCTCGGAACAAAAAGACCACCTCCAAAACCACTACAGGTGATTCAGCTACAGACAGATTCGATGCTGACAACAATCACAATCCAGACGAAAACGAGGACGATGAATTTCATGATGAAACCAATCAGCAAACCTCTGGGACAGCACCAAAATCAAAATCCAAGCCGTCTATCTTTCAGTCTCGTTTCCCCGATCTTGAACTTGACACCTTTGAACAGCAACTCGATTCTTGGACTATAGTGAAACTTCAGGAAGCAATACTTCAACAAGACTCACGCCGTAGTACTGCTCCGAAAGAGATAAAGGATCTTGTCAAAGTCGTTCGAATGGAATTTGAAAAACGTATCCTCATGATTGCCCTGATGGCTGGGGTTCCGGAGATCGTTATCTGGAACTTAGTGTAAGTCCAATGCATACTCACAAGTCCTAACCTCCTTACAGTATGCAAGCTGATCAACCACCTTGTATACGTCAGCGGCATTGGGAAGAAGAAAGTTAAGGCTAACCCTTGGATTCGATTTCTCACCTTCTGTGTGAAATGTTTGGGGCAGCAACGTAAGTGATAGATGAATAACATTGACAAAACCAATACTAATCATTGCTTCATCTAGTGCCTGATCGCGATGATAAAGATGCTTGGACCAAACAAAATCAGGAGATGGCCGATATTTGGCATTCACTGAGCAAGCACCAACAGTCTGTGTTCAAAGATCCCTACTTTTTTGCGTTGGCCAACCTTCCCGACTACTCGATTGCCTCTCTAGGTGAACATGACGAGCACAACAACGATGTAAACGAAAACAAAAACGAAAACGGAGTGAACTTAACCAACTTCAACACCGTTACGCCTAGCCCAACAATTAACAAACTTTCTGAGGAAGACAAAGCAAAATATCAGCCACTTTTCAAAGACCTAGTAAATGTCGAGAAAGTGCATCTCTGCCATGGTAAACCGGAATCCTCCCCTTCAATTGCAACCTTACAAAAACGATCTTTGATTGCTGTTCGAAAGGCTCATCATGATGTAAGGTTTTTTTTCTGTGCCTTTCATCTGCACCTAATTACGAAGTTCAACACCTTCTTACCTCATGTTTTTGGTTGTAGTTCTTGGTTGTCTGTCAACAAAATCAAATATCATACTATCTAACTAGTGCAAGTTGTGGTGGTCTCAACGGATGGTTGCAAACGTTTTCAAACAACGTGAAATTTGCTGAATGGGCATTGAACGTAAAACATATTCCTGACAAGTTTCGTACTTACGTACATGGATTAGATGCTGCCAAAGAGATCGAGGGGAAAGTCCCACAAGCGAGTGACCGTAGAAAAAGTCAACTGGGGCGTATGCTAAATGCATTGTTAAGTGAGTTGTTTTGATATATCTGACTCAATTGCTTGAATCACGACAATCTGACTTCATTAATGAATCAGAGCCTTATGGTCATGACACATTCCCAAAGCTCGATGATCCTGCTCAAAGAATGAACAGGAAAGGCTGGGAACTCAAAATTGTTCAGAAGCCCGGCAGTCTTCTCAAACCGGAGGAACTTCTTCGTGGACACCGAGGTGTAGCGGATGCGATGGTTCAGGCCTGGATTAAGGACATCAAGAACGGGCTTTTTTTGATTGAAACAAAGGTTGCTGAAGATGGCGAGACATCTCAAAACGATCATCAAGACGAATCACAGCAATCAGGAGGTCCTATGCAAGAACAACGCTCAAAACAAAAGAAAAAAAGGAGCGGTAAACATCAAAAATCAAAAGAGCCAACTCAAAAGCGACACAAAACAAATAAACAACCACTTGAGGCAGAAGACGATGATTCCGATTCAAACACTATGAGCTCTGACTCGTCAGAAGAAGAAGAAGAAGAATTTGAGTGAAGATCTACTGTCATATATGTGATTTGACCAGACTCAAGCTTATTACATCAAACAGTCAAAATTAACTCAAAGTTTACTTCATCAATGTTTCTGTCCTTTTCTTGTATGATGGTCTTGTGGTGTGACCTCATCCAATGGCTCTCTTTGACATTTTCTACTTGCCCTTTATTATTGTTTTCCCTGGTTATTGTTGTTTTCTCTTTCTTGCAATGGAATCGGTAGATTACATGATGATTGGATGCATTTTATATCACTCGCAAGTGAATAGATGTTATGTTGAGGGGACCAAAGACCACAAAGCAATTCAGTAGGGAATTGTATGGCAAAATCGGCAGTACAAGGTGATTGTGCGTGTGATGTTTTTTGTTTGGAGTTGGCAAATAAGAAAGAAACGTCGTTTACTTTGTGTTTTTGTGATATGTATTTACAATAGTTCACTTTTAGACACAATCTGGAGAGAAGTGCAAAGGTGGGATATGAGCCAAAGATTTGAGATTTGGTTAACCTTCAATCGTTCAGGTTAACATTCGATCGTTTGGTTTACTATGAACTGGGATGCCTTGAGAACTTGAGATTTGAAAAGGCCTTTTGAAATTGAGTCGATGAGATAGAGCTCGGAAGGAATGAGAGTGGTGAATGTGGAATAAGTTGTGTGAACTTCGAAAAGATGAGTGATTTGATTCTTTATGTGACTCACAGGTGTCATGCAAGAAGGCTCGAAGCGCTGACCAGTGCTCAGCAATGGGGTGTTGAAGGTGCGGTCTTAGTTTGTTGTGTTGGATGCTCGGAGATGGTGATGTTGAACGGTAATGAGGCTTTACTCTGCCTTACGCAAGAAGTTGTAGTTGACTCAGAGCGCTCTGGGTATGAAAGTTCACTCAGCGCGCTCTGAAGAGACCTCAGAGCGCTCTGAGGTACTCTCAGAGCGTTTTTTTGCCCTGGACACCTTGCTGGTGGAGTTGTTATTTTTGAGGATGATGAAATGTTAATAAAGTTGAACTATGGCTATATATTGTCCAAATAATAGTTCTGTCATTGTTGAAAAGTGTTTAACTTGAGAGTTGAGGGGCAAAAAAAAGCGCTCCAGGGCCGCTGGAGAGCTCTGCTGCGAAGGTCCAGCTTGACTGTCGTCTATACAGTGCCATTTGCTAAGGGTATATGTGTCACTTTGCAGAGGCTACACAGGTGAGTGTATGTAGCCCATCTCTACCAAATGTACAAGATTGGAGCAACAGGGACAGAATTTGATGCTCATTTGCATTTGACCTGGCCTTGCACCAGGCAATCAGTTCTTATTTGAGTGGTAATCAGGCAGCTCACTCACTATCTCTATCAACAAGATCCACAATACGGTCACTCACACTTGATTGGTGACAGTTGCATGGTGATGTATAATCATGATTCCATAAGCAAGCATTCCCCCAGTTTGAAGTCCAAAGACAACCTTGTAGAAAGGCTGGAAGCATTTGATCACATTGTGTTTTGTTGTTGAAGTTGAGCATTCTGGTAGCGAGCTTCAGCCATTGCCTCAAGCAATGGTTCCAACTCGCTATCACTACACCAAATGTAATCTTTACCGGGCGGTAAAGAAAACTACTGACATAGAAAAGTCCTGAGGCAACAGGAAGAGAGCTAAAAATCTGAAAAAATATGCACCTTGTTCCTAGATGTCGGGGCTTTTTTTTTTTTTTTTTTTGTATTTTACAAGCAGATATTGGTTTATGTACTAACAATAAACACTAAAATCATCAAAAACTCACATGTAACAATACCTGAA